CATGAAATTTTATTGTTCACGAATAGATGCATATAGGCAGCCAACTGCTAGGAAAACATTTGCATACAAACAATCCAAAGAGACACATGTCAATATAAGCAAAGCTCCCTAGATGAGTTCGTCAAAAAATCCATAGAAAATACAGGACTCCCACTTATATAGTTATATTCACAATCACAATTCAAAGACACATTTCAATATAAACAAAGAGATAGAAGCCAAAGTATTTATCCTATGACCACCAAAACATAATTATATACGAAAATATTTTAACAGGACAATAATTTTTATAAGGGAAAATTGCTTGGAGGAAGCAAAATAAGTTGGGCCAATCATCCCCACCCCCAGCCCAACAACCATAACCCATAAGCCCTAAAATTAAAAGATATATGCAACCAACCCCCAAATCCACTGCCCAAGAAAACAACTTCCCATATTACCCTTCTTCTTCCCAATTAAAACTCAATCCATTTCCTCCCCTCCCCTCCTCCTCCCTCCTCATTCGCACCCTCCTCCTCCACGACGCCCTCCTCGGCTCAGTCCGCCTCCTCCCCTCCCCTCCCCTCCTCCACCTCCTCCTCCTTCCTCCGTCGCATCCTCTCCTCTTCCCCCTTCTCCCTCCTCCTCGACCCCCTCATCATTGAGAACTTATTTTTAAGTGTTTGAAATTGAGCTGCCGTTGGATGCTGATACGGCGTTTCATGTATACTTCCCTTTTTCAAATTAAACTACACAGACCTCCCCTCCCCTCCCCTCCTCCGTCGCTGAGGTGGCGATCCACGAAGCCCTGCTTACTTCCGGGTTCAGGACGACGAGCCCAGACGAAGCTGATTTCTTCTTTGTTCCCGTTTACGTCTCCTGCAACTTCTCTACCGTTAACGGGTTCCCTTCTTTGGCCCACGCTCGCCCTTTAATCGCCTCTTCGATTGCTGAAATCAAAACCAAGTATCCGTTTTGGAACCGGACCAACGGCCGAGACCACATGTTTGTGGCCTCCCATGATTACGGCGCTTGCTTTCATGCAATGGTGTGCGGTGCTTTTATGATTTTACATGAAAATTTTGAAATTTTTAGAGCGAGAGTTTGTGAAGTTTGGATTTTTTTTGGTTTTGTTTTGTTTTTGAATGCAGGAGGACGTGGCTATCGCCGACGGAATTCCTGAGTTTTTGCGGCGATCGATTCTGCTGCAGACGTTCGGGGTGACCTCGCCGCACGTGTGCCAGGAAGCGGAGCACGTGCTGATACCGCCGTACATACCGCCGGGGATTCTCCGATCTCCGCCTCCGGAGACGGCGAGGAGGGACATTTTCGTCTTTTTCCGGGGGAAGATGGAGGTTCATCCCAAAAACATCAGCGGACGTTTCTGCAGCAAGTAATTAAAGAGTCGATCCTTAATTAATGAACTAGTCCATGTAAATTTTCATAAAAGCCCTTCCTAATTTAAGCAGGGCTTCGTGGCTCGTCGTACCTGTGTATCTTCCCAAATTACTCTATTTGATGGGTTGAAATCATTTGGGGGATGATTTTGATATAATAATAGCTTAATTCTGTGTGACTTTTGGTGCCCATATGTGATATTTTAGTATGTTGTGTGACTTATGCTGCATTTAGTCACATTTTGGTATTTTGTGTGACTTTTGTGATTGTTACGTGAAATTTTAGTATTTTGTGTGACTCTTGGGGCGCATATGTGACATTTCAGTATTCTATGTGATTTTTGGGGCTGTTATGTGATATTTTTACATTCTCTGTGTTATATTCTTGTTACCAGTTACATATCCTGTTATTAAGTGTTATGTTATATTTCTACAGGTATGATTATGGCATACATGCGTATTTTTTCATCAAGGCAATCCTCGAGGGAAGGGAGATAATGAACGTTGAAGCCTTGCACATGGAGTCGCATATGCTACGAGTAGGACTTGCTGCTCAACTCATATGTGAAGGGCGTGAATAGAAAAAAAACTACGGTTTGAAATTAGACAGTGATGATGCAGAATATTTTTTGTACTTTGGGGGTAGTGATGTACCTATGATTGAGTGGAAATATTAGACTCTACATGTAACTGTAACAATTGTTTAAACGCTATGATGTAAAGGATAACTAGTTTACTAGTTGTGTGTGACATTTGTTGGATTGTTGTGTGAGCTATATGTGAAGATATGTGACCATTAGTATGATGTGTAACGTTTGGGGCTTTTATGTGACGTTTTAGTATGGTGTGTGACTTTTGCTTCTTGTATGTGACATTTTGGTGTTCCGTGTGACTTTTAAGGCTGTTATGTGATGTTTTAGTATGTTGTGTGACTTTTGCTCCTTGTATGTGACATTTTGGTGTTCTGTGTGACTTTTGAGGCTGTTATGTGATGTTTTAGTATGATGTATGACTTTTGCTCCAATTATGTGACATTTTGGTACGTACCATTGATTGAGTGGAAGTATTAGACAAACACATAATTATTTCATTTGTTGGATGTTGGATGTTTACTAGTTGTTTGTAAATGATAAAATGTGCATTTGTAATTTCTTGGTGATCTTTTTTCTTTAGCATATTAAATGGAATCTAAAAGTAAAGTTCTTACAGGTATCACTGTTAATACTAACAAGTCACACGAACAGGTAATATGTCACATTTAAGTAGCAAATATCACAACAAAAGGGAAAATGTAGCATGTAACAGACAACAGTCACAAAAAGAGTTTGAATTCTGTGTGTGACTTATGCTGCATTTAGTCACATTTTGGTATTTTGTGTGACTTTTGTGGTTGTTACGTGACATATTAGTATTCTGTGTGACTCTTGGGGTGCATATGTGACATTTCAGTATTCTATGTGACTTTTGGGGCTGTTATGTGATATTTTTACATTCTCTGTGTATTTCAGTATTCTATGTGACTTTTGGGGCTGTTATGTGATATTTTTACATTCTCTGTGTTATATTCTTGTTACCAGTTACATATCCTGCTATTAAGTGTTATGTTATATTTCTACAGGTATGATTATGGCATACATGCGTATTTTTTCATCAGTGATACCTGTTCGTGTGACTTGTTAGTATTAACAGTGATACCTGTAAGAACTTTACTTTTAGATTCCATTTAATACGCTAAAGAAAAAAGATCACCAAGAAATTACAAATGCACATTTTATCATTTACAAACAACTAGTAAACATCCAACATCCAACAAATGAAATAATTATGTGTTTGTCTAATACTTCCACTCAATCAATGGTACATACCAAAATGTCACATAATCGGAGCAAAAGTAACACATCATACTAAAACATCACATAACAGCCTCAAGTCACACAGAACACCAAAATGTCACATACAAGGAGCAAAAGTCACACAACATACTAAAACATCACATAACAGCCTTAAAAGTCACACGGAACACCAAAATGTCACTTACAAGAAGCAAAAGTCACACACCATACTAAAACGTCACATAAAAGCCCCAAACGTTACACATCATACTAATGATCACATATCTTCACATATAGCTCACACAACAATCCAACAAATGGTGCACACAACTAGTAAACTAGTTATCCTTTACATCATAGCGTTTAAACAATTGTTACAGTTACATGTAGAGTCTAATACTTCCACTCAATCATAGGTACATCACTACCCCCAAAGTACAAAAAATATTCTGCATCATCACTGTCTAATTTCAAATCGTAGTTTTTTTTCCATTCACGCCCTTCACATATGAGTTGAGCAGCAAGTCCTACTCGTAGCATATGCGACTCCATGTGCAAGACTTCAACGTTCATTATCTCCCTTCCCTCGAGGATCGCCATGATGAAAAAATACGCATGTATGCCATAATCATACCTGTAGAAATATAACATAACACTTAATAGCAGGATATGTAACTGGTAACAAGAATATAATGCAGAGAACGTAAAAATATCACATAACAGCCCCAAAAGTCACATAGAATACTGAAATGTCACATATGCGCCCCAAGAGTCACACAGAATACTAAAATGTCACGTAACAACCACAAAAGTCACACAAAATACCAAAATGTGACTAAATGCAGCATAAGTCACACAACATACTAAAATATCACATATGGGCACCAAAAGTCACACAGAATTAAGCTATTATTATATCAAAATCATCCCCCAAATGATTTCAACCCATCAAATAGAGTATAACTCTCCAAACCTACAACCTAATTTTCTTCAAAGAACCAACAAATTAATCTAACAACATACCAATCTGCAGTACAAATTCTTTGTCCTGCTATAATCAACACCACATAATTCCGATGAATTAGTAGAATTAGGGCTGGAGCTCTGAGATTTCGACGACGACGAAGATGTAGCGTCAAGTATAACACAACTATTAAGTGCAGATTCGAAACCAACCTTCAGCTGTCAAAATCATCATCATCATCATCATCGGTGACTAACCTGTAGCTGATATTTTAATTTTCTTCTCCACAACCGCAGCTCGGAGACTGCAGGTCTGTACTTCTTGGTGATCCCTTGCCATTTCCGCTGCTGCCTCAGCCCTACCTTTCTCCTCTGCTCCCCACCTCCTTTCCCTTCACCCTCACAACCCTAACAAACTCCCCAAAAAAAAGTTTGGCACCGTAAGTTACTTCTGCGGCCGCCTCATTTTGCTGGCGGCATCCTACATCACCAGCGTATTTACCAGCAAAGAAATCGGCACTCCCACCACCCCTCATCGGCCCAGACTCAGAAACTGTGGAACAAAATTAAATTGCCTCAAATTGTAAAATTCCATTTACCTCTGGGAGTTCCAAGTAAAAATTAGATTAACTTATCTTGCACGCAAAGCAACACTTCTCATTATGTGTAGTTTAATTTGAAAAAGGGAAGTATACATGAAACGCCGTATCAGCATCCAACGCAGCTCAATTTCAAACACTTAAAAATAAGTTCTCAATGATGAGGGGGTCGAGGAGGAGGGGGAAGGGGGAAGAGGAGAGGATGCGACGGCGGAGGGAGGAGGAGGGGAGGAGGGGAAAGGGGAGGAGGAGAGGATGCGACGGAGGAGGTGGAGGAGGTGGAGGAGGGGAGGGGAGGGGAGGAGGCGGACTGAGCCGAGGAGGGCGTCGTGGAGGAGGAGGGTGCGAATGAGGAGGGAGGAGGAGGGGAGGGGAGGAAATGGATTGGGTTTTAATTGGGAAGAAGAAGGGTAATTTGGAAAGTTGTTTTCTTGGGCAGTGGGTTTGGGGGTTGGTTGCATATATCTTTTAATTTTAGGGCTTATGTGTTATGGTTGTTGGGCTGGGGGTGGGGATGATTGGCTCAACTTATTTTGCTTCCTCCAAGCAATTTTCCCTTTTTATAATCAATGAGAAGTTGAATATATAGTTAGAGCCGTAAATGGACATTTATGGAGTGTCACAATCCTTATTTTTATTTAATAGCTAAAGGTGAAAGAAGAAATAATTTCCAAGACAGAAAATGATCAATATTCCTTTGTCCAAAAATTATAAAGCATCTGCAGCTCCTCTATAACTAAAACAGACTCATTAAAAGCTATAATTGTTAGACCCTAGAGGGGGGTGATTAGGGTCTTATGCTAATCTAATCCGATTTTATGCCAATTAAAAATAATTAACAAGTTATCCTAGCAAGTATGAAATACAACAAGATATATGAGCTAGGATAAGCAATGTAAACAATGAGATATATCCTATATGATGAAATATATATGCAAGGATATATAAACTAATACAAGAGTAAACAGAATGAACTAGATAGTGGCTGATATAAATAATGAGGTATGGACAAGGGCGACAAGAAATATAAACATAAGATTAAGTGCGCCAAAGCAAACTCAAACACACGATATGATCACGGAGTTCAGACCTTCCGTCCTACGTCTCCGCTCCCCACTCCCGGGGAGAAATCCACTATCACAACCGGGTTTTCTACGCTCACCCGAATAACGTTTAGACCTCACAATGTCGGTTTTCAATGCTCACCGAACAACGTTTACTCCTCACACTCGGTTTTCTAGTTCATCGAAAACTTCACAACACACTCGGTTTTCTAGCTCACCGAAAACCTTACAATCTCACAATGTAACAAATATAAATTTGTTCTCTACAATGGATGAGAACACAATGAAAGCTCACACTCAATTGTTACAACTCTCACCAACCCACAATATATTACGAATGCAAATACAATAAGCTCAAGTGGGTGTGTGTAACAATGAGATAAAATCAAATCTAACTCAAATAGCAAACTAGCAATAAAGAGAATATGAAAATCAATAATAAAATTACTAGAGAAAAGAGTTAGAAAACTTCTCTATAAACACAAAGAGAAGATGAGAAGATATTAAAGATGAACTCCTCAACAGATGATGCAAACTCCTCTTTGTAACAGCAAACCCCAAAAACAAACTAAACAAACTTAAACTCTTTTAAAACTTGTTAAAAAATTCTCTTGGGTTTCTTTTAGAACTGAGATCAAGGGGGTATTTATAGCATC